CCGCCGAATGACAAATAATCTGCTTTGTTTTGCACTCACGTTTTGTACATATTGTTCACGTCAATGTATCGTTGCATCGTTTTCACACGCTCTGTACAAATGAACATATAGATTAATCACATATCCTTTGAGTTCTTGTTGATATTGTTCTCGTCAATGTATCCGTTGCATCGTTTTCACACAATATATGCCGGTGTGTATATTTTGTACAAATAAACATATGGGTTACTGTATGTGTGTCTGTGCATGAGTGTACGTAGGGGGTGTGCATCAGGAAGCAAATGCAGTCATACGTTTTTGCGGCTGGCTAACCTGGCTGCTGCCTCGCACATGGACAGAGAATATCCCCTCCTGAAATTTGAGCTTCTTGGTCTTTCTGGTTCCTGAGTTGCTAATTTTCTCGCCAAACTTTAACGTGTCTGTGTATGAGAATGAGGTGTATTTCGGATACGAATTTGGAATCCTTAGATCGCATGCAGAGACACAGAACATCTTTCCGAAATTTGAGCTCCATAGCTTACTTGGTTCTTGAGTTAGCAATTTTCCCGTTAAGACTTTTATGTGCCCGCGTGTGGGGCTTCAAACGTGCATGAAGATTACTGTAATGTTCGTAAGGTCGTACTTGGCCAGGGAATTTGTTGGCGAAATTTCAGCATACAAGTTTGCAAGGTTGCCAAAATGAAACAGTCCCGAACAGACAGTCGTCATAATATGTCTGCTGCAGCGGTCCAGCGCTTCGCAGCAAAAATGTGTAAAAAGCAAATTCTGGGTTACTAGATTATGATTTTGGATGATAAACGATTAAATTTTAGGTACGTTTAGCCGGGTACATAAGATTTTTGACTACCAAAATTTGAAAAACTTGAGATCGAGCTCTTGTGTCTCTTCAACAAGATTAATGTGTGTTTCCCATCAACCTGCATGAAGAAAAACGTAGATGCTGATCCACACTTTTTATCATATTAATCTAAACACGGCAAATATACATTCAAAAAAATAAGTAATATGGATAACGAGCAGGCACACGATTTAGGAGTACATATTTCTATATAAAATTTCTAAAAAAACTGCCAAGTTATGAAATTATAACACTTCGGCATGTGACGCAGTATTAACGCAGATCCAAGTAGGGAGACGCCTGCTTGCTTTGTTGTCCTATGTGCAGCAATTAAAGATCGAAAATTACAAAATTTGATAAATCACGAAAAGCGAGATCTGATAAATCATGATACTGACAACAATGACAATATTGCTGACATTTCGAAATTTACGATTCTAGTACCTATCACTGCACTAAGATAGTCTGAAATTTCCTTTCCTTTCCACTGTACGTCATTTTCCCGCCCGGGAGGTAGTTACGAGATCGAAGAACACGAAATACAGTGAGATTAACATTGCAAAATCTATTTTACTCAACTGAACAAGTTCGGTTTCTTCATTTTTTTGCGCTGCATTGAAGATTGTGTGTTTTTCATCCAATCTGGCACACTTCTCTTCTTCGCTTCACCGGGGGAAGCAGCAGATGTACTACTAGTGGTATCGTTAGTTTTCAAATCTTGCTCAATGCCGTATTCGTATTCCAAAATGCCAAAGATGATTTTTAGTCGATTATAGTCAATGAATCCTTCCGGAAGTTTCTCCATGATTGGCTTCAGCCGTACGATATCTGCAACAGTGCTCCTTTTCTTACCATAAGTTGTTAATTGCTAATAATTTTTTATCTAGTTTTAATGATTATTACATTGGAAAGTAATAAGAAGCCAGAGGGAAAATAATCGGATACAGAACCTGCATAAAATTACTAGAATAGAGGAATTAGACTTGAATTTCATGTGTATGAAAACATTTTATGATGCAGTCTGTGATTCATCCCTTAGCTGCAAACACAGACCGAATTATACGTGCGGTCAGGAACAGGAATCATCAGCACAGCCTCCTACCCGCTATGTACTGAACAGTCGTGTGACTAATTTGCAAGATGGAAATCTCATGCACGAAATTACGAAATCCTGGAAATCTCATGCACGAAATTACGGAAGGTTTCTGATATTAAAAGTCACGCTATCAAATTTTGATATTGAATATATATTCCAAGTTTCGTTCTCTTCGATTCCATACGCTCTCTCCTCGCCCGCTCTCATCGTCCTTTAAAGTTTTTATCTGTTAAAATGTATCATAAATATGCTCCTCTGTCGTCCAAGCCAGAAATAATTTCTTTCCAGTTTGTTTCAAAACGTACTATTCTGCTTATGATGATTTTTATGCAAAAAAAAAAAAAAAAAAAAAAAAAAAAAAAAAA